AAAAGGTCTGGAGAACATATACCAGGTTCCTCTCCTTTTTCCCTTTGTGTTAGTTTGGCAAATTACTGGAAGATGGCAGCTCTGGCCAAAAGCTATATAATCATATATATTATATATTATAAAATTATATTATATATAATTATATGTATTATATTCCTGACCTCTAAAATTAGTTAACATGTTAAAATGACAAGTTAGAGCCCTATCAGATTCTAAAATTTTCTAAACCTCTTCTTTATCCTCTTTATAATAGGCCATTTTATTAGACATTTTCCATGGATCTTACTCTCAAATTTTACTGCAACTTCAATTGTCTTTTATCTCATGGACAAGACACTTGTCCCCTTGCTTGTGTTTACCACAGCCCTAATTAAATTCCCTCTAACCTGTAGTCCAATTCCTACACCTGGCAGTTTCACTCAATTAGTCCAAATCACCTTTACAGAGCCTTACTGTTAATCCATTCATTACTAAACTACTACAGTCCTACCCTAATCAAGGATTGCTGTCGCGTGTCCATGTCAGCAGCAGCCACTCAGTCATTCCAGTCCATCCCCAGGTCTGGATTTCTATGCCTCTTTGTACTTTCTCTGTTTTTTACAGACCTGCACATAAGCACTTACAATGGACAGATGCTGGTGCTGACTTCTCTTCGATACAGCCGTTCCTCAAGATTTCTCTCCCACACAGTTGCCCACTCAGCGCATGTGACACCCAGAAGAAAGCCCCAAAAATCAGTGCCTGTTTCCTCTTTACTTCTTATAATAACTGAAAAATGAATGTAAATCTCCAACTGGATCTGACTCCCACAGTCCCCTGCCTGCTTGCTAGCAGAAGCACTGATGTCTGCAGAGAACTCAGCAATCAGTGTAGGGGCTATTTTAAATGTAGTGAATATTTTCATCCTATTTTCTAACACCAGAATATTTCCAACACTCAAGGATGAGGCTGGGAAACACAGTTGGTTCTCACAATCAGAGAACTACAGAACTTAATGAGCCACAACCAGCCTCGAGGTAAGTGCAGCTTAGCCAGACAGTGATGTTCTGTGTACTTTCACACCCCAGAGAGTTACACTTCAAGGACACCTCTGTCAAGTGTCAGACAAAGATTGATTCTTCCCCCAGGTTATACAATAGTAACCTTATTAGTTCCTGTAAGACTAAATTCTGCCCAGCAAAGCAATTAATGACATGTGTAACCAACTATAGAATGTTATCTGCCTTTTGTACTTCCTCCTGAAAACCTATATAAGCAATTAGTAACCTCAAAATGGGGATGATGATTTGTGACTCTGGATTCCTAGCCCACTAGCATAAGAAACTCCCTTACAAAGTTCTTCTGGTACTGTTGTCTTCTGTTTTGCCTGGTCCTGAAGTCTGTATCATCAACAGGGAACTCAGCTCAGGAGGCAAGACTGTCATTGACAAATACACACACACACACACACACACACACACACACAAATAAAATAAAATAAAATAAAAAATAAGACAAAATGTTTTGCAGGTCCTGGGCCATCTGGAGACACCCAATATTTACACCAGATCCTTCAAAGGACTGCCCAAGATGCAAGATTGTCAAAAAAACTTTAAGTACAGATGTTAATTGGGGTCTGCCCACCTAATGTCTCTTGTCTTCTCTCTATTCCTATAAAAGAGGCACATTTCTCTTTGCTCAAGGCAGATGATCTTAGCCTGCTCTCGGCCTACACACAGGTACAATAATCCCCTTCCATATTGCCTTTGCACAAGTCTTGTGGTCTCGGCTGGTTACATGTTACAGGGAGCAGTTCCTCTTGGAGGAGACAATGCAATCATGTCTCTATCTGGGCCTGAGAAGCATCTTCCATGTGGAAGGATTGGCTGGATTCAGGGTTAACAGTATCCCACACCACCTGCATGTAGGTGTGCCTGGCAGGAATACACAAAACAAGGGCACAGGGCACAGGTGTCCCCTGGCTTTACCAAATGTACAAGAGGCACAGCGCAGGTCCAGGCTTTCCTGGCCAGCCTGCAGGTTTTCCCTATCTATGTGGAGAACCACCTAAATGACACTCCTTAAAAGAAAAGCAGTTGTCTCCATTTTGCCTGTGCCTGACCCTATTTCCATGCATGATATGTACAGAGCTGGCTAGAGTTTTTCCTTATTCCAATTGGCTTTAAACAGTGCACATTGGTCTAGCCAAGGTGCTGGTAGTAGTCTTTGAAGGTGGCACATGTGTTTCCCTGATAACCCCACCTGCTTCTCTTTAATATGAGCCACGTCAAGACAGGACAAAGAGCCAATGCTCCACACTGTCAGCTGGGATTGAGCCTTGAGATAGAGGCTATGACTTCCTGGGGCTTGAAAGATTACACATCAGAGCTGTAGCATTAGACCCCAAAACATTAGATACTATCTCAACTGTGCAGTGCAGATTATTCTCTGCATATCCTTCTCTGTATATTGCAGAGGTAAATAAAGGCCTCCTACCTAGCCCAGCTCACAGTGCTCACTGACTTCCTGCCATTCTGTCATCTACCCTCAAGCTACTCTGCCTTCACGGCTAAATAAAACCTGGGTTTGGCCCTGGGTCAAGGACTTTGTTCTAGATATCCATCAGCAGGCTGGGTTTAGGACCCCCTTGGTTCCCCATAACTATAAATATGCCTTAGTGTATATTCTTGCTATGGGTTGAGCTGGAAGTGATAGATCAGAATTACCTTGACAGGATTCCAGTAACTTATTCATGGGATTACAAATATGCACTTCCTAGACTGAGACTAGGACAAGAAAGTGTTCTCTATATATTTGGGCAGCTTCTCTGGAGACAGTGAGAACCCAGGGATGGGGGAGATATGTCCTCTGGGGAGCAGTTAATGTTTGCAACCCTGGTTTTGGTACTGGGGAAGCAACCCCAGACCTTCACACTGAGATAGCACCACAGCCCTTGGTTATTCGGAGATCAGCTCTCCCTATACTTCAAAGTTGTCCGGGACTTGCTCTATCCTTCCATCCTTTTGCCTCAGCTTTTCATCCCTTTCATGCCAAGGCAAAGAGGCAGACAGTCAGAGCAGGAAAAGAAGCTGACACCACAGCGCCAGCACCCCTGGATGGTAATGGCTCATGCCCTTCACCCTCCCGGCTCTGCCACATAAGACACACCCTCAAAAGTCCTGCCCTAGCCCTCAGAAGCCCAGCCTCTGAGGCAAGGCCCACCCTTGGACTGCCCAGGTTCACTAAGCCACACATACCCCCAAACCCTGTCTCATCCCATTCAACTCCAGGGATGCCTGGGGGCAGGGTCACCTGTCCTCTGAGCACAGCAGAAGCCCACCCATCTTTCCAGTCTGCACCTCCAGGCAGGTCACGCCTCAGTGCTAGCCCCCTGTCCCTGCCTTGACCTGTCCCCTTCCTGCCAGGTGCCCCCCTTTATCCTCCCCCATACCCTACACCCCACCTCCCCATCTCCATCCCCAACCCCATGCTCCTGATGCTTGATCTCCCCACATTGGCCAATGCCCCTCTCCATATGCCTGGAAAGCAGCTCCCAGATTCCATGTCAGGGACTCAGAAGGATGGACACACATAAGACAGAGGATGGCCGCGCAAGGAAGAGGACAGCTCTGGGCTTGGGCAGGGAGCTGAGGTGCAGTTCCCGTGTTGACAGGCAACTGTGCTTGAGGGCAGCAGTGGCTTACTGATCCACCCAGGTGACAAATGGCACCACTGAGCCCACATTTGTGCCATTCCCCACTCTCAGATTTACTATCGCTGTGGAAAATGCAGCCCAGGGAGCTGGAGGGGGACCACAGAGCGAGCCTGCTTGCTATTTTCTGTTGTTGCTTTATGCATAGTTTTCTTTTTTCCACTGCAGAGGATTGAGCCAGGTGCCTGCACAGTAATCTACATCCTCAGAACCTTTTGCTTATTTTGTGACATCTTCGTGCTACACAGCCCAGGTTGGGAGCCAGCCTGTGATCCTCCTGCCTCAGCCTTCTAAATCTGGGGATGATGGCCAGCACCACCACACACGTCTTAGAGAGTCTTCTACATCTGTTATTCTGTGGTAAAAATTGAAAATTTCAATTGTGCTTTTTCAACCTAGGAACAGCTGTGGTGCTGCGCAGTGGGCCGTTTTCAGCTGTTACAATCCCACAGGGCTACCGCTGCACACACCTCGAACCCTGGACGGAAATGACATCTGCAGCGCCAGTGCACTAGATTAGCTGAAGAGGCGAGACACGTGAGCAACAAAATGCTGGGCGATATGCGCAGAGTGGCACAAACACGGCCCTTCCCCTGTGGGTAGGCGTGCCATGCTGATGAAGGGGCAGGCCCGGTAGGGTTAAGAAGCACATCCGTCCATTTTGGACACATCAATTCCAGTGAAAATTCAGCAGTACCTTAGTCCACCAAGGCTGCCAAATTAAATATGTTAGACCTCATAACTTATAAACAACAAAATTTATTGCTACAAGTTCCAGAGGGTGGCTTGTCCAGATCAAGGCACTGCAGACCTGGAGTCTGGAGAGGCCCTTTCCTCAGATGCTGGCCTCCGGCTGCCTTGGCCCACAGTGAGGCGAACGGCTCCCTCCAGGCTATTTGATGGGCCTTGGGTCTGCACATGGGACCGAGATCTTTCCACCCGATCTCCTCTGGGACATGGTTGCAGAGTGAACATTACAGACACCAATATTCAGCCCCAGAGCAAGCAACCTCATGTTGCATGCATGGGAGGTCGGCAGGCAGCATGGCCAGGTGCTGCTATGGTGGATGCTGGTGCTGGCTGACCCACTGGGACCTCACAGATGTGGAGCAACTCCAGGCCAATGGTGGCTCCATCCCTCTGCAACCCTAGTCCAGCATGGAGTCTTCCCATGGGGTCAGCAGACATGGGTGTTGTGCTGGGCACAGGGTTCTGGGAGGGTGGCACCAGGTTCTCACAGGAGGGATGCACACTCTGGACATGGCTCTGCCTTCTCTGCTGGCAGCTCCTCCCAGTCAAGATGCAGTTCCTAGCACTGTGGGGCCCCGACAAGGGCTCCATACCCACTGCTCTCACCTAGGGGTCTGGCCTGCTGGGAGTCTCGGCTGTGCCTTGAGAACAAGGGGTGGTTGTTGCCCAAGGCTTCTTGACTCTGGTCCAGAACCTGCGGCTCCTGGGGGAACCGCTGCCTTCTGGCCAGTAATGACTTCAACTCCCCAATTTCCTGATGTCCTTGCTGAGCTGGAGGAGGCCTATGCTCGGTGAGGTCACCAGGCCTCTCCTGGGAGCTACTTCCCAGGCCTACACACATCACGTTGGGCAGATCAACCATGGTCACTCTGGCTGCTTCCAGAAAGGTCTCATCCTCTGGGTCATAGGCCACCTCTGCCCTCTCCCTAGAGCCAGGCTTTTTCACACTGTGCTCCTCCCCTCTCTCAGCAAGTAGAATGTCAGAGGCTCGCTCCATGTTGTACCCTTCCTCTGGGTCATAGGGCCTGTCCTCCTCCTCCTCCTCTTCCTCCTCCTGGAAGCCATTGCTTGTCAGGTGACCAAACTGCAGGACAATGGGGTCAAGGAGCAGGGCTCCTGATGGCCTGCCCCAGCCTTTAGCATAGCAATCCTGCCAGGGGGTTGGAGCCAGGTCACTGCAGGGGGCCGGGAAGGAGCTCCCCTTAAAGAGAGTCTGAAGGATGAACTGCAGTGGTGAGGCTGGCTCTGACACCCTCCGAGGCACAGGTGACACTGCCCCAGGCACTGGTGCTGATGAGACAGGAGTGGGGACCCTGAAGGTAGCCCCTGCTGGAAGGGATGACAGTGTCTTCAACACAGGGACCTCAGGGGGTGGAAGCAGAGGTGGTGGAGACGGAGGTGGTGGGGTGCCTGCAGCAGCAGAGCAGGGCTGGCTCCTGGGGTACTTCCTCACAGACCATGGGGCTACAGGGAGGCTGGGGCGACCTGGTGAGTCCAGGGGAGCCTGCTTCTCCCATGCTCTGTTGAGCTCCCCCAGCTCAGGAAGGTGATTCAGTTTTTCACAAATGACTAACCCAAGGAGCAAATCTGGACGTGGTGACTCAAGGCCTGAAAAACAAAGTATAAGTGCAAGTTTTAAATTGAGATCTAGGACTCCACCTGTCCCCACCAATCACAGGAGCGATACTGAGCCTCAGTGAACCACAGGAGCTTCACTGAGCTGCTTGAGAGGAGAGAAACTCTGCTCCCTCACCCCTACCATCCCTGAATGGGAGGAGAGAAACCCCACCCACTGCCCCTATGCCTTTTAGGGAGCCTCAGTATACAGGAACCCTGGTACATAGCCCAGCTCCTACACTGTGGGTGAGGCAGCCAGTGCAGGAGGCACCAGGAACACACCAACCATCTTATCTGGAGGAACCTAGGGTAAACCTATTCTAACAAGAGGAAACACTTTGCATACAAACTCCTAATTTATGGTCAGTTCTGTTTTATAACTATAGGCTTTGCTCCTGTGGTCTAAAGTATAAAGCCAATATTTACCACAGTTTATCAGTTTCTACATTGTGCTTATTGCTAACTGTACTACTATAGCTAGGATGTCATATCTGCTGTCATCAGTTGTTCTCCCTTGTGCAACTATATTGACAAACTCCAGGATAATGTCATCACCACAGCCCTACACCAAAAGACTGGAGACTGATCCAAACAGAAAACAACATTCCATTCTTAATGAGCTAAAAAGGTAGGATCTGGGGACAGACAAAAACCAAAATCTGTTATGCTCAAAAGATATCCCTGAAATATAGACTATACCTGGAGAGAACACGGTATTAGTGATATAGCCACCTAGTACCAAATCTCACTCAAGTATAACCACAGGAAAAAAATACAATTTTTTTTAAATTTTAAAATGCAAAATGTCAAAAAGAAGGAGCAAACTACACTCTCTAACACCTCTGGCCCACCCAGAAACAGTATAATACACACGGACATAGAAGAACTTGGAAGTCACACACTTAAAATTGTTTTGAAATGATAGCAAATGAAGCAAAGAAATAATGCCATCAGGCTATAGAAGAAATCAGATCAGAAATAATCTCTCAGGTAAAAAAAAACAAAAAGGAACAACCACCCTAATGAAAGAGTTATTTGCCATATCTAAAGAAGGTATAGAGAAAAAAAGAGAGCACAGAAAAATGATGGAAACCTTGAATGAAGAATACAGGAAAGAATTTGAATGCATGAAACAGATTCAAACAGACATCCAGGAAATTAAAACTTTCACTGAAACCTAAACAAACCTCTTCAATAAAACTGAAAACAGACTTTCAGACCTTGAAAATAGTAATGAAGTTAATGACCACAAAACGAAAGATCTCTTAAAAATAACAAGGAACCAGGAAATAACAATTCAAGAGGCACAAGATAATGCAAAGAAAACAAGACTCATAGGTGTCAACAAAAAGCGGGAGTCCACAGGGATGACATTCAAAGATTATTGCAGTAGTAATAGCAGAAAATTTCCCAAGCATGGGGAAATAATCTGACATTCAGATAAGTTAGACATATAGAACTAAAGTTAGCTATAATCCAAACAAACCTGTACCCAGACATATAACAATGTCCCAGAAATTCAGCACAAAACCAGACTATTAAAAGTTGTTCGAGGAAAAAAAAAAACAGAATACATAAAAAGAAAAGCCCATCAGTATCACAGCAGATTTTTCAACACAAACCATCAAGAGCTCAGAGTGAAGTATTTCATATCCTGAAGAAAACATTTCCCAACCCAGATTGATGTACCTTGAAAAACGATCTTTCAAAATTAATAGGGAAATATTTCCAAGACAAAGAACAACTGGAAAAATTCATGACCACTAAACCAACCCTACAAAGAATACTGAAAGGTATTCTAGAGATAAAAGTGACCAAAATTTTAAGAAAAACAATAGAAAAGAACCACCAGGCAGGGCAAGCAATTAAACATAGGGGGAAAGCAAGGAAACAACAATAGGAAAATGACAAAACAAAGATAAGCCAACATATATCAGTTATAACCATTAATGTAAATAGCCTCAATTCACCAATCAAAAGAAACAGATGAGAAGAGTTGATCAAGAAACAAAATCCAGGCATCCAGCCCAAGCCCAGGCCCAGCGAATGTACGGGAGAGTTTGCCGATACCCTGCGCCAGTGGGACCTCTCCTGTCCAAACCCAGGCAAATGTGAGTGAGACCCTCTGCTGCACCCTTGGGACCCCCCCTACATTACAGAGTGCCCTCCCATGCCTGCTCAGTGAGTGAGAACTTCGGCCGCATTCTTGGGACCCCCAGATCCAGCCCAAGTTCAGGCCCTGAGAGTGTGTGGGAGAGCTTCCGGCTACAAACTACGGCCATGGGATCTGTAGGGTCCCAACCCAGGCACGCTGTGTGATTGAGACCCTCGGCCCTGCCCTTGGGACACCCCCACCACTACGGAGCCGCCCCCCATGCCCGCCCAGTAAGAACTTCTGCTACATTCTCGGGATCCCCAGATCCAACCCAGGCCCAGGCCCAGCGAGTGTTTGGGAGAGTTTCCCCACTTCCCTATGCCGCCTTGTCCCCTTCAGACCCAGCTCAGGCCTGGCATACAGGCCTGGGGTGGAACTCTGCAGCTTCAGTCCCTGCAGAGAGAGAGAGAGAGAGTAGGGTACAGAACCACCCAGCTAGTCCAGGAGCAGAACCTCTTGCCAGAGGGACACAAGTTCACTCCCAAGGGCTGCAGCAGGAAGGAGCTGAGCACAGCAGCCAGACTCAAACCAGGCACAGCTGGATAATTTCAAACTTTGTAGATCTGCACCTGAATTTCAGTAAGTGCTACGGTTGTAACTGCACCAAAGCTCTACAACAAAGGTCACAACACAGTGCTATACAAAATGACAAGAAGGAGCAAAATGCAATCTCAGACCCCAAGTCCACCCAAAACAAGTGTAGATGACACTAGCATAGAACAAATTGGGAATCACACAGCTGAAATCAATGAATCAATAGTGTCTGAAATAAAGAAACGACTACAGAAAGGTATAGAGGAACTCAGATCGGAAATAAAAAAGGAAATCTCTGAATTAATAGCATCTGCAGTAAAGAATCAAATACAAAAACATATGGAGGAAAATCGATCTGAAAAAAACTCTGCAGTAAAAGAATTAATAACTGCTTCTCAAAAAGACACTGATTACATCCTCTGGATCCTGAATAGACCCAGAGCGCAGGCCCAGCACGGAACCCTTCAGCAGAATTCCCTGCAAAGAAGCAAGAGGCAAGACCCACCCAGCTGATTCAGGAGCAGAACATCTTGCCAGAGAGACAC